GCCATAAAAAGAAATTCGCTGAAGGAACTAAAGGCCATCCCGGCCGAGGCCTATAAGAAGTGTATGGAAAATTGGATTAATCGTTGGCATGCTTGTATTGGCTCAGAAGGAGGCTATTTTGAAGGCGATCATAAAGATTTGTATTAAAATACATAAAATTGTTGTTTTTTTTAACCAGTCCGGGTCAAATTTGATCAGATGGTATACAGTAGCGCAACTCTCCCGATTTTATGTGGTCAAAATGGAGTGCGCATGCGCGAAATAAGCAAGTTGCCCCGTCTCATGTCCTCCTTCTTTATTACTTTCTTTTTATTTAAATGACTATTTCATTGTTCCATTTAAAGAGCTGAGAGCAGAAATTTAGAAAGAAATATAACCTACATTGTCCATTTGGTAGTGTTGTGTGAGAAATCTCAAGAGATTAGTAAAATATCTCTTCATTTTGTTCATTAATAAAATATTCCCTTTTAATATCTTAACATGCAGTATTTTGTATTTTACGTATACATTATATGTCAGCATAATTATCAAAATTATCTTAATATATTAATTAATATATATCTTTTCTATATAAACTATATTAAATTTTTTATTTATTGTATTTTAAATTTATTTTTTGGACATATACATATATATCAATTTTCTTTTATATCAACTCGAAACATTTTCGTACAATATATTTACAATTATGTAATATTTGAATATTTCTCTTTATATTTATAAAGAGAAATATTCAAATTTAAAGGTAATTTAATATTTTTTCCTTATATTTTTCTACATTTTTTTCTTTATTTTTCAATATATTTACAATTTATTTTTATTAATTTTCATTAGGTTCAGATTATTTCATTGTAACAGTAGTTTATTCGCGTTGCATGCTCTAATATGCAACAGCTCTTACTCACTCCAACGCACTTGTTGGAGTGCGACGCGAATAATTCTAGTGAGTTTCGACAGAGCGAAAAAAGGATGAAAAGAGAAAGAAGTTTAGGTAGTAACCATGGCAATTTAGGTCACTTGCTTATTTCGCACATGCACACTCCATTTGGCCATGCTCACATCAAAGGTGCCGACAGGGAGTTGCTTGCACACACACACACTTCTGTATGTACTGTGCCTTTACTCCGAACGTATTTGTTTAGAAGAAAACCAATGAACTTTGACTCGCCTCTACTCCGTACGAATCTTAGCAATTTCGGTAGATTCACGATTCAGGAATATGGCTTCTAGGATTTTTTTACATTCGAATAATAGATCCGTCTCGTGCAATATTTTCGCTCCTCTGGTTAGAAATTTCCAGATTGAGTATAACGAACCTCAATGGAGTATTAATACAAGATGAAACTTGAAAAGGTACTTTCTCACGAAGTTACAAAGCACTAGCTCCAGCGGAATCCTCAATTCTCGATACAATCCTGTGTGAATTTATTCAATAGAAGAAAATCGAAACTCTCGAAGTAAATAGGTAGTAACTTCAATAGCCGATATTGTTGAAATAATCATGCCCATTTGGAATGGTTTCCAATCCCGTCTCGCCGACTTTTAATGAGGAAAGCAGCTCTACAATTTCTCATAAAAAATTGATTACTTCTGTATACTTTTCTAGACAAATTTCCCAGAACTAAATAAACTTTTCGATTCGTTAATCTGGAACCACTTCGCAATGATTCGAATAAACTAAGAGATTTCCAACTGTGGTACATCAATTTCATCCGCTAATAGTTCAAGTTGTGGAGCTGACACGGCTCATTACGTTAGTTGCATTGTTAATGCACATTTTCATAAAATGCCTTTTCTTATTCAACAATTCTCTTTCCAATTTACGTGCTGGCTTAAATTGATGGCCAAAAAGATGGTCTCTTGCTCAGAAATTAATTTTGGAAAATGATCTACGCAAATTTTGATCGATGACAATGCGTATTTTTCAACAAATAATGGAGGAATTTTAAAAGAGTCATTGTTAAGAAAACTTTCCTTTAAATTTTTTAAAGCATGTAGAGTATTGTGGAAGAAAAATAGCCTTTTTTCATCAAACAGATGTGTGCAAGAATATCATTGAAAATCTGGCTGCGTTAATGTCGAAGGCTTTCCACATTGTCCAATTAGTCAATCCCCCCCATGTCCGATATTACTCCATGCAACCGGATTTCTTCTGCTCTTTTCACGATCTCCAAAATAACATGTAAAACTAGAACCATCAACTTTATTCTCGGTATAATAATACGCAAACACTTTCAACGATGAGCAATACTGGCAAGCATAAACACTAAACCATCGATTCCTCTATAATTTGGCAATGTAATGTCCAATAACTTTACTGACAAAAGGATCAAATTTATTGTTAGCGATTGTACTCATTTCATCAAGAATTATGAATTTCGCAATCTTTATGAATATCGATTTCAAATTAGCAACACTTTATGCATAAAAAATAAAAAATTTTATCGGAAATCCGGCTTCTAAATTTCCACAACTCTAATTTCGTCGAAGTTCTTCAAAGGATGATAAAGGCCACTGTTATTTGATCAACTGAGCATAACTTGAGCGCCCGCACGAAAATTTTAGCTGATAAGTTTCAACTACTGTAGCATCAGACCGTTCACGTACTTTAGGTTCTCACCGGAAACCTAATTTGGTCTTCACCTAAAATTTTCGATAGGATACCAGTAGCGGGATTCTCTAAACGTCTTATCAATGATTATTGCTATCATTAACTAGCAACACACAGCCAATGGCGGTACAATCCTAGAAAAAAAAGCAGCTCTTATTGGCTGTCGCAAATTAACGATAACGACAATTGTAGATAAAACATTTAGAGAATCCCATAATAGAGGTTTTCGCATTTGCCGATAATAATTGTATCTTTTTTTGAAGCAATTTCCTTGTCTTCATGTGTTCGACTTTCATCCGTTTCCGCAAGTTTTCACTTCTCTGGTACATCTTTGTCATACGTTTGAGTTTCTTCGTCATTTCTCGTAGCTGTTCTTCGCATAAAGTATTTTTTAAAGCGTTGTCACCATTGCAATTCGATTGCAACTCCAAAAAATTTCGCTCTTCTTTGATGACTTCATTGTCGCTTATGTTCTGTGGAATATCTTCGACTGCTTCAATTGTACATTTTTTCTCCACATATACATCCATATCATTTGGTCTGAAAACATTCATTTGTCCTTGCCTGTTGGTATTTACATCATCAAGTTCTGAAAACGTAAAACAAAAAATCCAAAAAGCTCATAAAACTGATAGAAAAGTTGTCATCAGTATTGTTGTATAATTCATACAGACAAACTGAGAAATTTCAATAAATACACTACCTACATAGAATGAAATATATCTTGATCGTTGATTATTTTTTCTATATTAAAAACTTCAATTTAATATTTCTTATATATATTTAACAATTTATTTTACATAAATAAAAATCAATATCTTTAATTTACATATGTACATATCGGGGCCCAAAAGGTTACATTTTCTTTTCTTTCTTTTCGAAAATAAAGATTTCAAGCTTAAAATTCTTTTTTTAAATTTAAATTTTGATTATTTTTAACAAAAAATACTTATATATACATATAATTGTATATATAATTCAAACTAACGAAACTCCACAGAACTTTTTCTCCGATCCAATACAAATACTACTTACCAGTGGGTATCTCCTGATTATTAGAAACTGCATTCTGCACTTCAATCATTGTTTTACTGAAATTCACAGTTCCATAAACATTCGGTCTTTCAAATAATGTTGGTATTGCATTTGCTATTAATTTTTTTGTTCCATCCACACGTACCTTCTCCCTCATTTCTGGACCAAAGTGTTTCTGAAATTAATAAATATACATTGTATTGCATTATCAATTAATAGTTTTAATATTAATCATACTTGACTCACAATATAAATATATACAATCAATAACATAATCAATAAAATGAAATGATAATAATAATAAATAATTTACTTCACAAAGAACCGAGTTATTTGTTGGCATCCAATTTGGTTTGTTGAATGCTCTAATCCAGCTGTTCCTCCTTTCTTCATTTTTTGGAAATGAACAAGTTTTTATTTTATTTGACAAAGACGATCTCGCACCACATGCCACACATCTCCCCATTATATAACGATATTGAAACCTACAAACATATAATTTATTTTCGACAAAAAGTAAATATTTTTTTACATTAAAGAAAGTTATATTAAAATTAAATTAATCAACAGACGACCAAATATTTTATTGTAAAAATTTATAAACATTTAAAGTTAAAAAGGACTAGGTTGTATGCTTCTGTACTATTATACAAATATCTTATACGTAAATTTATGATTTTAATAAGCATACAGTAACAAATATTGTAGGAAAAAAGAAAAATTTTAGCTTCTCTGTTTATTTTGGCATCTACTTTTCGCTAAACCAAGATATTAATCTTTATCTCTGCGTACACTAGAAGGAATAAGGAATTAGGAATAAAGAATAAACGATTTTAATCTATCAGAAACCGTGTATTCCGATTTCTAATAGTAATTAAAATCATTTATTTTTTATTCCTAATTTCTTATTCCTACTGTTGTGCATAGGGTCTTAAAGTCGAATTGAGGTATTAATCTTTAAAGTCGACGACTATTAAGGATATCAATCATAAAACTTTTTTTCTAGGATGAAAAGTGAAAATGAAAAATTTCTCCATTTAACTTTGATGGTTAAAATTTTCACTTTTCATTTTCCATCGTAGGAATGAAGTTTCATAATTGATACCCAGATTAGGAAATCTGTCACAGCAGTGATTTACTGCTTTAGAACACAAATTCACTGTTTTTAAAATACAAATTTACTACTTTAGCAGAGAATTTATGTTTTTAAAGCATAGTGACCACTGTAACAGATTTTTTAATCCAAATAGTCGTCGACTTTAAGGATTGATATGATTCGCAGAGCAGAGTGATATTTTATTCTTGTCAAATCTTTATTTTTACGCGAAAACGCATCGATTCAGTGTATTTTTATTGAAATTGCACTCTTCTTAACATTTACCTTTGTCACTAATTGTACTATAACCTACTAATCAACAAAAACCAAGATGGTGGATGAGAATATCTAATACTTTAAGGCTATGGCACACAAAAAAACTTAAGGCAATAACACATAAGTAATAAGTCCGGATTCTCAAACAGACAACAGCGCTTTGACGCTGTTAAAAATTTAACATTTTCAACCCTAAGCGATATACAGTACACGGTACAGTAACTAATATTAACTAACTAGGTAACTAAAAAACCGCGTACCACATACCACCTATTTCTTTCGCTGATATTACATGGAGCGCAGTTTGAGCGCGGTTTGTGGCGCGGACTAGTAACAAACTCACATTACTATACACTGCTATGCACTTTTTAATGGAATTAATTGATTTAAACGCAATTATTATGTAAATCTGTTAAAAAAATAAGAGTATCGATAAAGTGT